CACATGAGTGGGTCTCACATGCGTTATGCTAAGTGAGAAGCAGGATTCAAAGGGCTACAGACTCCATGACTAGATTTGTATGACATTCTTACGAAAGCAAAACTATAGGCACAAAAAAAAAAAACAGATGAGTAGTTGCCAAGGACTGGGGTTTGAAAAGGAAGTCACTGCAAAAGACACCTGGGGGCGATGACACTGTTCTGGATTCCGATTGTGGTGGTCACGTGACTGTCTTTCTAAGAACTCTGTGCCCGAAAGAGTGAATTTTACTATGAGCAAATTGTACTTTAATATAAATGGAAAACAATTTTCTTAAAACCTGTGGTTTTCTAATGGTATTGGATTTAAAAACCGTCACTCACCTAAATATTAGTTTCGAACATATTAACTATTTGGTAACGCAAAGCCTTTGTTGGCTCTGAATAATCCCGCCTAGAATTTTAGAAAAGTCTTCCTGTGAGCTGGTGATTCCCATGGAGAAAATGAAACCAGTATTAGAACAAAAAGGGGCTGGTTTTCAGGATTCTCTTGCATGTGGATACTAAGCTTGAGTAATCTCTGTGAATAGTGATGAGCTGCTCTCATAAATTACTCCATGTTTCTTACACATAGTCCTTGCTGTCATTTTAACATAGTAACTCTTTAATATGTAGGATCCCTGTCTTCTGGGTCATAAAAATAAGTGTTCCTGTTAGTGCTTACAAAATTGTGGCATTCTATACATTTTTTAAAAGTATGTGGCACGTTGTAAAAAAAAAAAAAGGTCTAAAATTATTTGAGAAGTAGAAACTAAAGTCATCTCTCCTATAAAAATTAGTCAGATTTTTATGTCAGTGGAAAAATTTATTATTATATATTGTCTGCATTTGCATAAATGTAATGCATGAAAAACAGAAAAATTGCTCTGCCCTTTTATCTAATTGCAATTCTAACACAACACTATAAAATAAACTGAAATTTAGGTGATGCACATAAATGCAGTAAGTGGTATATTATATGCTTTTTAATCATGAAATATGTTTTGTAGTCAGATAGTATCGTATTTAAACCATCACTTCCTAATACATATTACAAAAAGACCCAACAGGATGAAGATAATTTCTATAACCAATGAACAAGCATATTCTAAAAGTGCACGTAAATATAAATTCTCTTAAGTAAAATATTGAATAAACTGAGGGAGACATAGCTATATATATATATCCAGATATTAATAAAGATAAAAAATATCTTCAGAGATAGATGGAGCATAATATTTAGATAGAAAAACAAATAGATAATTTGTAATGGAGAAGTGATAGTCCATGAACCATATGCCAAAAAAAAAAAATGTGTTTTCAGATGTATCATCAAATATTTTCAGTGGGTTTTCTTTCCCCACATGCATGAATTTATTGTGTACTAAATAGGAAAAATGAGGCGACCTTCGCTAGACACCAAATCTGCCAGCCTTGATCTTGGACTTCACAGCCTCCAGAACTCTGAGGAATACGTATCTGTTGTGTATGATGTTTAGTAATAGCAGCCCAAATGGACTAATACAGTATTTTATGCTATGTGAGGCTGCTGTAATGTAGCTAACTTGGCACTGGGCACACAGGTATTCAATAAATGGGAATTCCTAGCATTACATATAGTTGGATCTCTACACACAGCTCTGCTGGCTTTTGTGCAGGGATCCCTGGCCCTGGGCTGACTGTGAAGCAATTTCCTGTCCTTCCCGCTCTCGGCCTTCACTTGGGCTTCTTTGATACAGCAGTAAGGACTCCACCTTCCAATCTCTCAGCTCCTCGGTGCCCCTTCCTGTCTGAGCAGCAGAACTGGAGCAGAACCTGATCATGTTAAAGATGGCACCGTGTGCTCCAAATGTTTGTATCCCCCCAGATTCACATGTGGAAATCCTAAGCCCCAGGGTGATGGTGTTAGGAGGTGAGGGATTTGGCAGGTGACTAGGTTATGAGAGCAGCAAAACCCTCATGAATGCACTTAGTGCCCTTAGGAGACATCAGAGAGAGGCCGTCATGTTTTTCACCACATGAGGCCACAATGAGGAGGCACCATCTGTGAAACAGAAAGTTGACCTTCACTAGACACCAAATCTGCCAGTGCCTTGATCCTGGACTTCACAGCCTCCAGAACTCAGAGGAATACATTTCTATCTGTTTTGTGATCACAGCCCGAAGGGTCTAAGACAGTATTTTCGTATGCTTGAATTTGAGTCAGTCACTTGAGGTCTTTTATCCCTGATTTTATATAGCATAGCATCTGTATATACTGGATATTCAATCAAGGTTTGTGGAAGGAATGACACTGTTCCTTTGTAAAAATAATTTTAGACATCAGTAAATAGCTGCAGAGGCTTTGGCTGGAGAGTTACACATGACCCATATCTCTGAGGTCAAACTCTTTAAACTAAATTGCAAACTAACATGGTACTTTTAGGGTAGTGTAGATGGGGTATGGGATAGAAAGGTACAAAGGGACAGTCCCCAGTGGACTCTTCAGATAGACTCAGTGCTGCCTTGGGGGCCAGCAGGCTGGGCTGCAGGGGACCTGTGTGACAACAGATGAGGACTCTGAGAACTAATAAACAGTCTGATGCAGGATGGCAACTGGTCATGGGGCCGAGTTTCAGACACAGTATGCCACACCAGGAGATGAGGGCAAGCCAGTGTCACACAGGGTTCAAGTAGTTTCCACGCAGAGTAAGAAAGCAGGCGAAGGCTTGACAAGGTGCATGCTGAAGTGGAATCTGAGGCAAGCACCAAGGTCACCTTCATTCTCTTCCTCCCAGAGACAGGAGAAGGTGCTTCCCTCAGTGCTGGCCGGTTTATTGCTATTGGAAAGCATGGCCAGTTAAAGTAACCGGGGTCTCTGTTATGGGTTGAACTGTGTCCCCCAGAAAGATATGTAAAACATGTAATCCCCAGAACTGCAGAGTGTGACCTTACTTGGAAATGGGGATTTTACAGATGTAATTAGTTAATTACTGTGGTGGAGGTGGGCCCTTCATCCAACCTGAGCAGTGTCCTGATCAGAAAAGACAGCAGGTGCAGGGAGAAGATGCCATGGGACAAGGGAGGCAGAGATGCGAGGGCTGCAGTTGCAAGTTGAGAACCCCCAGAGATGAATGGGCACGACCAGAAGAGGCAAGGAAGGCTGCTTCCCTACATGTCCCAGAGGAATTTGGCCCCGCTGACACCTTGGTTTTGGACTTCTAACCTCCAGAACTGAGAACAGGTTTCTGCTCTTTTAAGTCACCCAGTCTAGGATACTTTGTTATGGCAGACTTAGGGAACTCATCCAGTCTCCAAGGACAAATACTCTGTTTATCTACTGAGGAGCCCTGGCAGCTGTCTGTGGGGCCAGCCACACCTCCATGCAGATTCGGGTGTCCCCATACCTACTGTGGTGTCTACCCATTTTGGACATTCAGATTCTGCCGTACCCAGTAATTCCTCCTCTAGGATCTGCAGCTCTTTTTCGGATGTTACTATTCCAGGATGGCTGGAGGCAGAGAAAGATGTGCTCAGCACGTGTAAGATGAAGAGACTGCTCTACCCTCAGGGAAAATCCTCCTGGGTGCTGGCTTTCCCTGAGAGATTCTCTCCCAACCTCATGACGTCTCTTTTCAGCCTCCTGCCACAAGGAAGCTAGGTGTATCATTACGTTTTCCTAAGAGTTAAGCATTAAGTTCATAGTGTAAATTGCTCTCTTTCCTTTCTGATACCCTGACAGGCATCCTTCTGCACAGTCTTCTGTGTGCCTCTGGTAACGAATGCTCTGACAATGAAGTGTGCCCTGGAATACATAGTCTTCATTAATAGTGAATATCTGAAGACAGAGTAGCTTAGTTCACTAATTATATGCATATAGGTCTGTTCTTTTAAAGGGGAGAGACCTTTAGCAGAAATTTATTTAAATGCCTTTGCATTAAATGGACTGTGTGCTCCTTTTGAGAAATGTGTAAATGCATTTGAAGCAGCAATACATAAAGCCTTGACACTGGATCCTAAAGCCTAAAATAATTGGTCACTTTCAGCTCTTCAAATGTATTTTGATGTTAACAATGCTCTGAGTGATTTAGGTGACTGTTCAGGTTTGCACTTCAGTAAAGCTTGAATAATCATTGCTTAAATTAAGAACTATCAGATACCTGTAATCCTAGCACTTTGAAAGGCTGAGATGGGCAGATTACCTGAGGTCAGGAGTTTGAGACCAGCCCAGCCAACATGGTAAAACCCCATCTCTACTAAAAGCACAAGAATTCGCTGAGTGGGGTGGCGTGTGCCTGTAATCACAGCTACTCAGGAGGCTGAGGCAGGAGAATCACTTGAACCCGGGAGGTGGAGGTTGCAGTGAGCTGAGATCGCACCACTGTACTCCAGCCTGGGCAACGGAGCAAGACTCTGTCTCAAAATAAAGAACTATTAGATAAAGGCCAAGAAGAGACCAAGCCCAAATTATATAATAAAGGGAAGAAATGAAGAAGTAAAGGCAAGCGAAAGGGTCACAGGATGAATAATGCATAGAAAGCATAATAAGGCCAATGTCTTATTGAGGAGAGCGGTGATACTGAACAGGACTGATCCTTACGTTGCTTACAAACTGTATTAAAATTACTCAAAGAGAAAACTGCATCTGGTGTACCTATCTCACCATCCAGATGGTAAGTGATGGAGCCGGGATTTCAGTACAGATCTGTCTGACTTGAGAAGCCGTGGTCTTGTTACTATAACCTCCTCTGCCATAGGCATAGGAAAAGGCATTTCCCCTGGCTTTTTTTTTCTTTCTTTCTTTCTTTTTTTAATGTTCTTTGTTTTAGGGAACAAAATAGTACCTTGGGGACCTTCTCTAACACCAAACTAACATGAATATTTAGCTTTCCTAAATGTCAATTGGGACAAATGAAGAACCATGAGTATTGCCACTGGTAGGTGAGTGACAGCCCTGGCAGGGCCTTGATGCAGAGGCTGACCAGGCTCTTCTTGAACCCCTAGGAGCCGAGGTGACGTACATGAACATGACCGCTTACAACAAAGGCCGGCTGCAGTCCTCCTTCTGGATCGTGGACAAACAACACGTATATATCGGCAGTGCAGGTTTGGACTGGCAATCCCTGGGACAGGTAATCTTTCTGTGTTATATATACTCAGAGTTCTGTCATCCTCAAAGCTACCACCTCCATAAAGCAAGCTACTGTAGATAAGAATACTAAAACCTACAGCATTTATTATTTTTAACTGTGTAGTTTTAAGAGGCTCACCTTCCTTTTGTGTGAAAGGATAAACCTTTCCTTGTCAGAATCATCTTACAAAAAAAAAGTAAAAACTGCTATTGCTTCAATGCTTTTGTAATTCATAGGCTGCTCCAGTATTCCTGAGAGCAGGTTGCTATGTAATTTACATTACCCAGACCTACATTTTCAGGATGATATTGCATAATCATCTATGAGACAGAGGGAAACACACAAATTCAGTATAGAATAATGTCTTAGGATAGTAGTCATTTGAGTTATTTCTTTAATAAATCTCAAGATGAAGATTTCTCATCTTTCTCTTAACAAATGATTGACTTCAAATATCTTGAAAATACATTTTCACAGACAAGATTCTTATGCATTTATTTGCGTCAGAGGCAATCTGCAGAGGATTACAAAATTACCATCTTTTCATTGATCATCCAGTGGCAGGAGGTTTCTGGTCACTGGATTCTTAGGAAGACTTGCTGACCTTCTCAGAACGTCTTTTTAAATCAACACTCTCTCCTCCTCTTACTCTCCACACCGACACACAGATATTGTCTCCTCCCCAGCCCACTATTTCTCCACAGCTCTCAAAATTTGGGATCACACTATTATACCTATTCATCTGTCTTAAAATAGTGTTTCTTTCTGTTGTGCTTAACTATGTGGAATTTTTCTTGGTCCACCTCAACGTGACATCAAGCATTGCTTAGCAGGACTCATGCAAGAACAGAGTTTAATTGAACAAAGTTGAGGCTAACAATTACATGAAGAATTATAATACATTTTCTAAGAGTTAAACTTATGTTATCAGCTTTATATTTTGTAAAGTTTTCTAGTGAAATCAATGACTATTGCTATCAATTATTACCTTATATCTATGGTAAGTAGAAGAAATAATAATAACAGTTTCAAAAAATTGAGGCTTTCTCTATGCTAGGCATTTTTCTAAGCATGTAAAGTGTATAATCGCATTTCGTTTTCACAATAACTCTTTCTTGGAAATACTACTCTTATAATTTATCTTGCAAAGGAAGAAGCTGAGACACAGGTAAGTAACTTACTCAAGAGCACCTTTCAGGAAACAGCAAAACTGGAACTCAAAACCAAGCCATATAGCTCCAAACCCCTCATTCTTATTTCACTAGTCTTTTAAAATAAATACATTTAGGAAAAAATTATCCTCTTTCATGATCTTGCTGGGATGCTAAGTTAAAGATTTTCTCTCTCGCCCTTTTCTTTAAGAAAATCTAACAGGAAAATTCATCAAGAAACTTCTCACTCGCTGGAATCTTTCCATGATGATATGGTGGTCGTGGAATGCCAGCTACTCTTGCTCGATACTTGAGCTCTGCAAACTCACTAATCTCTGGTTGAACTTCAAAAACTGTAAAGTCAGTATGTGTTTTCTTTTGTAGACAAACATCGGAGATATTTCAGGTTTAGTTCTGGACCACTGCAATAAGACAAGGCAGACCATTTTTTGATTTCCCAGTGCATATAGAAGTGACCTTTAACTATAGTGTCACCTGCTAAGTGTACAATAGCACTATGTAAAAAAAAACGTGCATACCTTAATTTAAGAATAGTGTATTGCTAGAAAATAACAGTCCTCTGAGCCTTCAGATGTAGATGTAAGCTTTTGGCTGGTGGAGGGCTTTGCCTCGATGTGGATGGCTGCTGACTGACCAGGGTGGTTATGGCAATCTCATAAAATAAGACAACAATGGAGTTGGCCGCATCAGTTGACCTCTTTCATGAACGATTTCTCTGTAGTATTGATGCTGCTTGAAAGCATTTTACCCGCAATAAAACGTCTTTCAAAATTGGACTCAGTCCTTTCAAACCCTTCCACTGCTTTATCAACTAAGTTTATGTAATATTCTAAATCCTTTTTGTTTCAACAATGTTCACAGCATATTCACCAGGGATAGATTTCATCTCAAGTAACCACTTTCTTTGCTCATTCATAAGAAGCAACTCCTCATACATTCAAGTTTTATCCTGAGACTGCAGCAATTCAGCCACATCTTAAGGCTCCACTTCTAATTCTAGTTCTCTTGTTCTTTCCATCACATCTGCAGGGCCTTCCTGTACTGAAGTCTTAACCCCTCAGAGTCATCCATGAGGGTTAGAATCTACTCCTTCCAAACTCCCATTATTCCAAATTCCCGTTAATGTTAATATATTGGCCTTCTCCGGTGAAGTAAGTGTGTGTGTGTGTGTGTCTGAGATGGAGTTTTGGAGTTTTACTCTTGTCTCCCAGACTGGAGTGCAGTGGCATGATCTCTGCTCACTGCAACCTCCACCTCCCAGGTTCAAATAATTCTCCTGCCTCAGCTTCCTGAGTAGCTGGGATTACAGGCATATACCACCAAGCCTGGCTAATTTTTGTATTTTTAGTAGAAATGGCCATGTTAGCCAGGCTGGTGGTGATCCACTCACCTCAGCATCCCAAAGTGCTGGGATTATAAGGGTGAGCCACTGCACCGAGCCAACAAATGTTCATAATGGTACCTAGAATGGTGAATCCTTTCCAGAAGATTTTCGATTTACTTTGCCCAGATCTATTAGAGAAACAGCTATCTATGGTAGCTATCTAGCCTTCTAAAAGTCTTGAAAGTAGAAATTACTCCTTGATCCCTAGGCTGCAGAATGAATGTTGTATTATCAGGCATGTAGACAACATTCATCTCCTTGCCCATCTTCATCAGAGCTTTTGGGTGAACAGGTGCATTGCCAATGAGCAGTAATATTTGTAAAGGAATCTTTCTTTCTGAGCAGTGGGTCTCAACAGCAGGCTTAAAATATTCAGTAAGCCATGCAGTATTCAGCAGTTCTATAATCCCAGCTCTGTTCCCTTTATAGAGCATCGGCAGAGTTGATTTAGCATAATTCTTAAGGGTCCCACGATTTTTATAAGAGTAGATGTGCACTGATTCCAACTTAAAATCACCAGCTGCATCAGCACCTAATAGTCAGCATGTCCTGTTTACCTTTGAAGCTAAGCATTGAATTCTCTCCTTTCTAGCTATGGAAGTCCTCGATTGTATCTTCTTCTAATAGAAGGTTGTTTTGTCTACATTAAAAAATCTCTCGTTTAGTGTAGCCAGGTTCATCGATGATCTCAGCTAGATCCTAGTTAACTTGCTGCAGCTTCTCCGTCATCACTTGCTGTTCACCTTGCACTTCTGTTACAGAACGGTTTCGTACCGTAAACCTCATAAACCAAGCTTCCAGCTTTTCTTCTGCTGCTTTTTTGCCTCTCTGAGCCTCCACAGAGTATAAGAGGCTAAGGGCCTTGCTCTGAGTTAGACTTTGGCTGAAGGGAATGTTGTGGCTGGTTAGTTCGTCTATGCAGACCACTCAGACTTTCTCATGTTAGCAGGAAGGCTGTTTTGTTTCTTAACATTTGTGTATTCACTAGAGTAGCACTTTTAATTTTCTTCAAGAACTTCTCCTTTGTATTCATAATTTGGAAAACTGTTTGGCTTATCTTGGCTTTCTATGTGCCTTTCTCACAGAGGCTCATCACTAGTGGCTTTTGATTTAAACTGAGAGATGTAGTGGGGAGTGGTGGCTCATGCCTGTAATCCCAGCACTTTGGGAGGCTGAGGCGGGTGGATCACTTGAAGTCAGGAGTTCAAGACCAGCCGGGCCAACGTGGTGAAACCCCATCTCTACTAAAAATGCAAAAATTAGGTGGACATGGTGGTGGGTGCCTGTAATCCTAGCTTCTCAGGGGGCTGAGGCAGGACACTTGCTTGAACCTGGGAGGCGGAGGTTACAGTGAGCCAAGATTGCGCCACTGCACTCACCTGAGTGACAGACTGAGATTCCATCTCAAAAACAAACAACGAACAACCTACAAAACTGAGAAACAAATCTTCCTCTCACCTGAAACTTAGAGGCTAATTGTAGGGTTATCAATTGACCTGATTTCAATATTGTTGTCTCAGGGAATCAGAGGACAGAGGAGAGGGAGAGGGACAAAGAAACAGCTGGTCTACAGGGAAATCAGAACACATGCAACGTTTATGGATTACGTTCTCCAACTTAGATGGGTGCAGTTTGTGGTGTCCCAAAACAATTACCATAGTAACCTCAAAGATAACTGATCACAGATCACCTTAACAGATATAATGATAATGAAAATGTTTGAAATATCATGAGAATCACCCAAATGTGGCATAGAAACATGAAGTGAGTGCGTGCCATTGGGCAAATGAAACTAACAGACTTGATCGAGGCAGGGTCGCCACAGACCTTCAATTTGTTAAAAATGCAGTAAAGCACGTGCACCAACACGAGGCATGCCTCTGTATTCCTCACCTTGCATCGGGCACTCCCCTAGAATTCTTGGCTGCAGGGAGTCCTGTGGGAAGAAAGAGAACACCACCCCAGGCTTTCCACACAGGGGTCTGGATTTGTGTGTGAAATTCAAGAGCTCCTAAAAACACCAAGGAGAGAATGAAAAGTACGTGCTAACGGGGCAAATAAAAGACTAACCAGCTGGATTTGTGTGTGAAATTTAAGAGCTCCTAAAAACACTATGGAGGGAATAAAAAGTACCGTGCTAACAGAGCAAATAAAAGACTAACCAGCATGTGAAGCCGAAAGAAAAGGGCACAGCGGTCTTTAAACCGCGGGGCTCTGGAGGCGGGATGCTGAAATAGGAGAAGCCAGGAAGGAAAACGTGAAAATCATGTTTTTAGAAAAAGTCACATTGACACTTTTTCAGACAAATCCTCTTAAAGTCAGCCTGAAGTTGAAGGTGGGGCTCAATAGGTTTATTGGTCACAAGAATCTGGCATCTCTGGGGAGGAGAGAGTTTCAGAGTGTGCATTTGAGCATAATTCGAACAAACAGGAATAGGTCTATTG